TTTTTTTTTTTTTTTCCTTTCTTTACTAAATTCTTTTTCTGCTCTGCTTCCTTGGTAGAGATTTCATTATTTATCTTTTTGAGTAGACTCACATAGGTTATATACACATGTATAAAATATTAAATTACCTTAAGATAAATTGTTTTTTAGTACTTAAAATTTCTTAGCTTAAATCTTACACATTTTTGTGCTTTAATGGTTATAACTGTCTATGAGGTGTATTTTTAGTTAGGCTCAATAGAATATTTTATTAAATGTATATATTGTCTTGTGATGGTGTCATGGAAAATCAAAGTTACATATCTTGCCTTTAATTATTTTTGAATCCTTTTAAGGATTAGGGTGAGGATATATGTAAGATGTAAATAACTATATCTTCAATACTAGCTTATAGGCTCAATGAGAGTGATATCCATTTTTCTCTTACTGACCTTTTATACTCAGCACCTAATATTTATATTGCCTGGCTCATAACAGATGCTTTTTGAATATTGTTGAAAGTATGATTGAAATAGAATAAAAGCAGTGTATTATGGTGCAAGATGTTGCAAAGATTCAAAGGAAGGAGAGATTAAATTCAGTGAAAAGATCTTATTTTCAAATGGGTTTCAGTAGGAAGAGATTTATTGGGAGGATTTACAAGCATTCATAAAGGTATCATAAATAGTAGGAAAAATGCATGAAAACAGCAGTGTAGGGTAGTATGTTTGGGTAATATTGAAATGTATATAGTTTACTTCATAGGTAATATGTAAGACAATAGGTTAACATAAGACTTATTTTATGTTGGATGATCTATTAGGAGGTTATTTCATAGTCTTAAGTAGTGACATGAACCTGAATTATTAGGTTTACAGGGATTAAAGGTATGTAAATGGAACGGTAAATACGTGACAGTAACTTGAAAATGATTCTCAGGTTTTCTGTCTGGAGAAACCAGGAGAACAGTAACATTATTATCGGGAGGAAGGTTATTTTCAGGAAGTACAACTTGTTTTGAGGGTAAAGTTTTGAACTTTTTTAGTTTGTATTTTAGTTACTAATAGGAATTCCATTTAGAGATTTTTACCAAACTGTTAGAAGCATAGATCTGGCACTTGGGAGAGAGTTTTGACCTTGAGATATGGATATATAATGTAACAGAGAAAACTTTAAATGATGATAATTTTGAAAAAAGATTATTTTCTGATATTAATGGGCATGAGTGAGAGGAAGACAAATTTTAGTAAAAGAGATGATAAGACTTTAAATAAGGACAGAGAAGTTACAGTATATTGATTACTGTGGAGTGTTATGCTCCTGGGCTTCTGATCCCATAAGTTGTTATTCTCTGTATCCACCTGTCTCTTTATTTAGGGAATATTTGTTTGTCTGATGATCTCAGTTCTCTGATGATCTAAGAGGAGTTGTTGATTTTCAGTTTGTTCAGCTTTTTTCTTACTATGTGAGTGGATGGGACAACTTTTATGTTTCTTATGCTGGACTGGGAACTGGAAGTCTCTCCATTGAATTTTTTTTTTTTTTCATTTTCACTGAGTAATATTAAATAGCTCTTTATTTTCAAGATTTATAACTATGGAATAGAGCAACAAACTGTATAAAGTTACTGTAAAGTATCACACATATACACTGTTCTTTTTAGCTGTTACAGAAAAACTATTGTAATCTCTCAATAATATGTAGCTTAAAAAATAATAACTAGTTTAAAGAATTTCCATAAAACTTTTTGGGATAAGATTATGCTTTAGCCTTGCCACTGTTAGTTATAAAATAATATAATACATTTCTCTTCTAGTATTGCTCTTAAAAACATGAGTTCTGATAACCTAGTATATTGCATTTAATTACATGATGATTGCTCTTTTTTTTTAAATTGTTGGGGCCTCATTGAGGGTAAAAAGAACCAGGTTACACTGATTGAATTTGTTAGGTAAAGTCCCTTTTATAATTGTGACCCATCCCCAAGAGGTGTCACACCCTACCCCCATCCCCCTACTTCCCTCTCCCTGCACCCTCTTCCCTCCACCCCACACCATGTACTAGGTTATCAATTGTCCTTGTATCAGAATTGAGTACGTAGGGTTCTTGCTTCTCCATTCTTGTGATGCTTTACTGAAAATGATGTGTTCCATTCCATCCAGTTTAATACAAAAGATGTGAACTCTCCATCTTTTTAAATGGCTGAATAGTATTCCATGGTTTCATATACCACAACTTGTTAATCCATTCCTGGGTTGGTGGGCATTTAGGCTGTTTTCAGATTTTGGCAATTGTAAGTCTAGCTGCGATAAACAATCAAGTGCAAATGTCCTTATGATAAAATGATTTTATCATTTATGATAAGGATAATGGGTTTTGGTACTGCTTTTAATATCCTTTGGAGTTAATTTTGCACTCCTTTTGGTGAATGCTCTTGATATTCATTTTATTTTGTGAAAGTCCATTGCCTAGTTTTATCTTTCACATCATTGTGGAAGCTAGGTTTTGTCCTTTAGTTGCTGGGTGCTTTACAGGTGGTCCATTGTGATGGTCAGTGTGTAGAATAGGTTTGTGTTTTTTCTGTAGAGCTGGTCTTATTGTGGCAAACTTCCTTAATGTTTGCATATCAGTATAAGATTTGATTTCTCTATCAATTTTAAAGCTTAGCTTAATGTTTTGTTTCAAGTAGATTAAAGGTAGATGAGCATTGTCTTCTGGCTTGAAAAGTTTCATTTGAGAAGTCTGCTGTCACCCTGATGGATTTTCCCAAGTAGATCAATTGGCGCTTACTCCTTGGGGCTTGCAGAATCTTTGCTTTTGTCTTGACTTTGGACAGGTTCATCACAATGTGTCCTGGAGAAGCTCTATTTGAGTCGAGGTGACCTGGGGTCTGATATCCCTCTGAAAGGAGTGTGTCAGAATCTTTGGTGATATTTGGGACATTTTCATTTATAATATTCTCTAGTATGGCTCCCATTCTGCTGGGTTGTTCTTCTTCCCTTTCTGGAATACCTATGACTCGTATGTTTGAATGCTTCATGAAGTCCCATAATTCTGTCAGTGAGTGTTCTGCTTTCTCTCTCTTTTTTTTCTGACTCTTTAACTGAGTTAGTTCAAGAGCTTTGTCTTCTACCCCTGAGATTTTTCTGCATGGTCTAATCCGTTGTTGATACTTTGTACTGCA